TTTTTACAAAGAGAATAAAACTCATCGTCTTTTTGATCTCTTGTCTCAGTGCATTTGTTCCACACACATGCACACACTCTTATCGCAGGCATGTGTCACCTGTGTGTATGTATCTATGTGTGTGTGTGTGTGTGTGCGGGGCAGCTTACTCTTGTTTAAACAGCAGAATTTTTGGCTCATTGATCCTTTAATCTCAGGACGGAACAGAGGAGCGTTTGTTTTCATGCAGAGGTGAGATTGTGCACTGTGGAGGTGGATGAAGAGTCAGAATCCCATTATAGATGCTCCTCTCGTTGGAACTTTTCTCAGTTTGTGTTTCATAGACCAAAATGGCTCCGGGAGAAAGTAAAATCCACAGTGGCACACACTGACGCATGCTTAGTGAAAATGACATAAACTCCTATAGACAATGTGTTTAGGGACAAGTAAAGAAACAAATCCATGCTTTACAATAAATAAAGTTGTAAATTCACAAGAAACAACTTGGATATTTTCTCAGATTAAAGTGGGACATTCAGGAAAACAGAGATTATAGAACAAATGTATATTCAGAGTCAGAGGCAGAGATTTTTGGGGAAAACTACAGAGAGAAATATTCAGCTTGGTCACTGCAGCTCGGTCAGCTAAATGAGAGGAAAATACTGTTTTAGAAATGACTTGTATATATATATATATATATATTTATATACACCCACAGGGAACTTCTCATTCCAGAACACGTCGCGTCCGAGTGGCAGCGCGCTGCTCCAGCCGTCGGTGGGGGAAAATGTACCGAGGGGAGTCGGGGCGAGGAGCCGTGGCCGGCCAGCAGGCAGATTGTGCTCCACTTTCCCTTTTGCCTCGGCGAGGTTCGCCGTTGACCTTTTGCACATCGGCACAATCCGCTGCGCGCTCGCAACATGTTGGGTTTGACCCGCCGAAATGAGGTGAAAGCCTTTTGGTGCTTTGCTGCATCAGCGTGTGAGCAGGCAACTCGCTGTGACGTTGCCAATTACCCCAAATAAGAGGAATAGGTCGATCACGTCACGTGGATGATGTGGTTTTCTTCGTATGTGATAAGACTGATTAGAGGATATTAGACTCTAAAATATTTCACCGTAAATTAACGCTATTTTACTGGCAGCAAGGACGGAGGGAATTTACCGTTATTTTACGGTATAATACCATAAATGTTTTTACACTATGTTACCGTAAAATGGAATACTGTATGTTACCGTAAGCTTGAACAAATTTTACTGTGAATTAACTGCAATTTACTGGCAGTCGACGCTAGTAACTTACTGTTTTATTTACACTGCCCTGCCGTAATTTACGGTATGTTGTCGTATATTGGATTACAGTTTGTTACCATATGATTACTGTTTTTGTGTATTAAATACCAGAATGTTACTGTTTACTTATAACCGTATACTTTTGCATTTTATTCTCCACAAATTAAAGAAAGACAACCAAATTCATATCGGTCATAGTGGTTGGAGTTTATCAGATGCCTTTAAGACAAAAATTTTAGGCATTTGTAACCAAGAACAAAACATAAAATACGCCGCATGTATACAATAATAAAAAAATGAATCATGAAATCATAAGGAACAAGGTAAACTAACTGCAGCAATACGCTATGGAACACTTTCAATCGACCGCAGCAAACGGCTGGCGCCCTTAATCCAGTGCCTCTGTAAAACAAACCAAAATTAAATATTTAGAAACACTGTCATTGGTAAAATATTAAAATTACAAAGTTAAGGAAGACAACAAGATGTAAGGAAGTTGAATGTTAATCATGAAGGCAAATAACACTTACCAACGTTACTTGGAGAGACGAGGCAATGAGAAACTCCTCCGATGATGAACTGCACAGGTGTTCTGGATGAACTCAGATTACGCGTCTGACGTCACGTTCAGGAGCAGTCGGTCACGATTAACACTCTAATGACTTTTAGGTAATGAACACTTTGAATAATACAAATATTTATAATCTTTACATTCCAACCACTGAAAGAACAGCGAAGGCGGCGCATGGGAAAGGGAGGGTGTGCTGTGCAGCACAAGGTCTGTGGTTCGAATCCTGGCTGCTCCCTGTGCCAAGTTGAAGAGTCACTGAGCAAGACACCTAACCCCCAATTACTCCACATACAAATATGTCAAACCATGGGCGTTGTGGATAAAAGTGACAACGGCATGTGTAGTAATGTCCTGTAGGTCAAAGTCATCATCGTATCTCATGAGATATTATGATGATTTACAGGACCTGTTTTTCAGTGGCTGACGTGGGCTTCCGTACATTAACCTACAACAGATGTAGATGGATTGTGATTCACTGCACTTGTATGTGTATTTCCACCACTTCATAAAATATATGTAACATGCTGTTGAATTACGGTAGTCTGCTATTATTGTAAATTGACAGCTGTAACTGTTTATTCATGACATTGGCTGTTAATTTACAATTAAGGGATGAAAATGTAACTGTATGTTAGTTATTATGACATACTGTAAGATACCGTTAGAAATGCACCGTTAATTTACAGCAATTTGTTACAGTGTAGATGGATTTCTGAAACACTTTGGGTTTCACTCGGCAACCAAGGCCGATGGATCTTAATAAATGATGTTCTGTGCTCACAGCTAATACGAGTAAACATCCAAGAATCAACAGTACTTGACCTTGAAGGTTTGTTTGACTTTGTGAACCTCTTTTCTTGCAATGCATGCTGGTAATGTACTGCAGACGGAGGCACCATGGACGTGACAAATGCAAAACCAATTTACCTCCCGGTAGAAATGTGTCCTACTGTGTCTTCTTATATCGGCTTTTAACTGCTTAACTGCTGATCTTGAACATTTTAGGATTGTACTTTTTTGTGAGGGTGGGGGGGGGGGGGTCATTGCGGGAGATCAATTCATTCAATGTCAAACAACTTTCTTAACTTAGTTTAATTAACATCAAAATTCAATTTACTACACAATCCACCAAGGAAGCTTTGACTGAAACACGAATGGATGACGAGAGAAAACAGCAAAGTGATGAAATTCTGGCAGGGATGATGAATCCAGATGATACTGATGAAAGTCACGGGCGGTGTTATGAGATAATGTGAAGCCTCGTAATCTGTGGTTACGTCTCTTGTTCAAGACGAACCCTGCCGATGTCGTTCTGGATCCCACAGGGTCGGCTTTGGATTTAGCAGGAACATGAGAGGAACCAACAGCTCTGCTTCGTTTGATATTTGTAAGTGATGGCTGAACTGAGGTCATGAAAATGAAGCCATGTACGTCTGTTTCTTCCTTTCTCATGGGCCGCGCCGAGAAAGTGGCGGCACTTGGTGAAACGGATAAATAAAATTCCTTTGTTGTAGCTGCCCTTTGACACGCACCTCGCCGCTAACAAATCTAGGAAACACACGCAGGTTTCAATCCAGCCTCTAGCCGGCATACTTTATGACGCAGTTTGCCACGCGTGAAGCAGAGACATCATTTCTGATTTTATCACGTTAGCCTCTTGTGTGTTTCAATAAAACCGCCTGCCGCTGTGACCCTCGCTTCCAGATAACAGATTATGTTCCGCTTTCTCTCACAAAAAAAAGTTAGTCGTCTTTTTACCGTTTTTATATCATCATTGTGTTTTAGTTTGTGTCTTCTGTTCATTTCGCTGTCAGCTGTGGAGTGTTTGAGAAGTGTCCAATGCTAACCGCCAACCAGCCACGTTGGTACTGGCGCGTTAACCCCGTGCCCCTTCGCCGGCGTGCCGATGACCCCTCCGTCTTGCAGCCCGCAGGACGCCTGCGTGTTCAGATTCGTCCTAACTACGCGCAGGCCACTTTGTCACATCGGCGATGAGCGTTTCCAACAGAAGATGCAGCCGTTCCTGTACACAGCCCCTCGTCCGTGGCCTGGTGCATGTGCTCTTTCATGAACTGTGCAATATTGGAGATAGTCTGTTCAAGCAGTGTTTGCTCTGATCTGGTGCTTAGAATCTGCTGATGCTGGAAATAAGGCTCAACAACACCGGCTCACACTGTTTTAATCGGGCCGCCGATGCTGAGAACAGGATTACTGAACGCTGCACGTGCGCCAGAACAATTGCACTGTGTTGAGAGTTAAGTGGGTGGGGGCGGCTGTGGGTGGGGGGGGGTCACGGTCATTCTACCATCGAGTCCATCCACGGTGCTAATGACAAAACAAAAATGTGATCACTTTTCTCGTCGGTATTAATGCGTTTCCTGAATCAAACAAAACGCTCAGTGCACCGACTTCATTGTTACTCCGCAGTTCATCGAGCACGTCGCGGAATGAGCGTTAGATCACGGCTAATAATAATAAGTCATAAATAAATAACAAGCCAGTACTTTATTGGCAAGTGGTGAATTGATGAGCTCCTTTTGTATTCACATTTCCGTTGAATTGGAAAGACGCTCAGCTTCAAAACGCGTCTCCTCGCTGTGGTTGGAAGTGGATGTAATTGCGTCCGTGAGACGAGAGGTGATTATGTCTGGTTAAGCTGAACTTCTGCCTGGTCACAGAGTGTTTGCGCTCCTGCTCTTTTTCCACTCGATTAATTTTGGCTGTAGAGGGTAAACATGGAAAATGTTCAGAATGTAGATAATAAAACATGTCATGTAGATGTTTCTGAAACCATTTTTACAAAACTCTAGACTTAGTTAAGTGTGTGTTGCACATCACAGTTTGTTTGATGACCAATGGTGACCATATATATATATATAGACCTGTGGTTGTTCTCTTGGGCCACTTCATTGTTGTGTGTCCTGACACACAGAAACCTATATTTTCCTTACTTACTTACTTCAGCCAGTGGTTCTGTCCTCCTGCACTAGTTACTGAATTGTCTTACTGAAAGGAACCTCAGGTGGTGCTGTTGTCCTGACAACCATTAAAGGGAGATTCACTGCGAGTCGACTGTATAATGAGAGAGAGGGAGAGAGAGAGAGGGGGGGAGGAGGGAGAGAGACTGAACGGAAGCCTGCCTCTCTCCATCGCAGTAGGTGTCTGTTCCGTCCCTTTACGCAGAGAGCATTACGCATCAGTGGACGACTCGCGCGCGACTGCGGACGTTTCCGTCCTGAAAGTATTCAAGGGACCCCGTAGCATTGCATTGGACCTACAGGGCATCCCGCGTTGTCTGGACACACTCTTTTTTTTATTTCAACCCTTGGATCTATAGCAGCCGAGAAGCGCGCGCCTGTGCTTTACGATGCAAGTCGGACGCAAATCGTGTTGGAGGCAATTGCAGGCTTCTTTTTTCAGACTGCTGTGTCTCATCCCCACAGGATTCCCCGTCCGGAGTGTGGACATGCAGCGGCCCAGCGACAACATCACCATCCGCCAGGGCGACACGGCGGTCATACGGTAAGAGTCACGTCCCCAACTTTCCTCCTTCCTCCGCTTCTCCCCGCGGACTGCGCATCGCCCCGCTGCCGCGCGTCGCAGCAGCCAAAGCGGATGAGGATTGAGTATTGTATTTGCCCAGCAATAAACACACCTTTTTTCGCACGTTTTTTGGATGAGTTTACTTTGTCAGGTTTACAACTTTTATTTCGGAAAACAGTCCTGACTGAAAATAAGTATAAAAACCCGTTTGTGGCAATAATTTGAGTTCCATATCGTTATATCCTAATTCCCACATGATGGAATTAAGTAGGCTTTATTTTTCGCAGTGACCTGGCATCCTTCTTCTCAGGGGGGGGTTTACTTGATTGGAGCGAAGAGCTTAAACGCGCCTTCTCTGACATGACGCACGGGCCCCCGGAGCAGCGGTCATCCGGAGCTCCACTTTCTCTCCACCTCATTCACACGGCTGGATGAAGCCAAGTGCGTCACGGTTCTTACAGGGAGATCCAGTCTGTGAGTGGATCGATGTCGAACACGAGCTGCGCGGGATCAGATCAGAGGACGCTGCGAGGAGGCTGTTTTGGGGAAGGATGGGGTGCACGTGCAGGCGAAGGGCCGTCGGTGTCGGGAATTTGACTCCGCCGCCCCCGTGAGACGCAAAGCTCCGCTCTCCAAATCCCGTTACGCGCGGTCCGTTGGCGTGCCCGCATCTGTCTGCGTGCGTGCGCGTCCCACTTAATCGCGTCCCAGACAACGCAAGCTGTCAACTCTCTGGCACTGACATGCTGGCGGGCAGATGTCCGCCGTCACGTGATCCGAGCCATGTGTTCGTGGGAGGCTGGATGAATATGAGGGACTTAAATATGGGCTGTTCATCTTCCACACGGCGCTCTGCCTCCTGCCATTTACCCCCCAATGCAATGCACTGCAGCTGAGTCCGGGGGTATAATGAACACTTTGAACCGCGTTGATGCTCGATCCTCTCCCCCACTCCCCCTCTATCCTCTCCCCACTTCCGTGGCTTATTTACAGCAGCCCACCTCGCCTAATGAGTGCTCCAACACTGAAGGAATAAATACCTTTACTGGTTCCGACAACCAGGTGCCATTCATCCAGGGACCCCCGCTGATCGAATTACTCAACTGACTGTTGAACTCGAGGGGTCACAGCTATTAGTTTCACTTCTTCCCAATCCAATTGACGGCGTCTTTTGATATATTCAGTCGTCCAGTCCGTCGTCTCCTTCGGATGCGGAGGCCGGCTTGGTACTCAGCCGGAGCCCAATCCGATTCCCCGTCCCGGTGAGAGCACCAAGTCTTCTCTGTCACCGCCATCGCTGACTAAACAATCCTTGAATAATTATCCGGTTATCACTCAGGAAGCGCCATTGATCATTAGATGTTCATAAAGGATCCTGTTGTTGATCAGTGTTATATATATTTTCAGCAATGAGCCCTGTGGCTCCATTGCCATTTTTCACACCCAGTCCCCACCTGACAAATTGGAAATATGTGTGTTGGGGGGGCGTGAGGGCCCAAATGTGAGAACGTAGCTCCTGGAGGCCTGTGGGCTGGTCATTTTTTGCGAGCCACACAGTGTATCCGATCCCATAAGCTGAGGTTTTGTGAAGGCTGAGGGGATATTGGCGACCGGGGGGGGGGGCGTAATAAGGCCCGTACTGCTCCAGTGGAGGCCGGCGCTGCAGTCCTGACATTCAGGGCGTAAAGGGAGAGATGCATGATGGGGAAACCGCATGTGGCCAAACAACCAGTGTGACAGAACACACAGCAGCTGGCCCCGCTGGTGAAATGAGAAGGCCATTCATTGTATTGTTTTACCAGGGGTCGGGGACTGTTTAATACATAAGCCAATCTTTTCCCGTCATGCTTTACGCTTTCAGATATGCAGCACTGGTGTGGCTCAATGTGCAAGTGTAATGGATTCATGTAGGTCATGGCTATGTAATGTTTGCTTTATGCGTTGCGTGGTACAGGAGCATAATGCGCTGCACGTCATGTTGTAAATACTCCAAACGTCTTGATTTGTTGTGACCGGCCGGCGAACCGCAGCCGTCTTTCCCCCGCACGTTGTGACAGAACAGAAGCTCGTTTCCCCCCTCAGAATCCATCCAGAGTGAGAATCCACCAAACGTATTAACAGATATCTGCAGCCGAAGCCAGTGAGGGGGAAGAGCATTGAAACCTAAATTGATTTTCACTAACTTGTCTAACAAGACTGAGCTGCAGTGACAACGTGTTCTCCTTCAACCCAGCGTGAGATGAAAAGATTTAGTTGCACTTAACTTTTGGAGTCCTTTGCCTGAAATGATCATCATCGAGTTTGATGGCCGTCGCTATTGTTGACTTACTTGGATCAACACATTCACTCCAGCACTTTTAGCGCGGACTCATCTGATTCGCGGTAGGTTTTGGGATTGAACATTAGCACCAAAGCACTGGTTGGCTTTTTAACAGCCTGATCTCCAAAACCTGTTCGTAAAAATGTACACGAAAATCTTGTAGATACAAATTCGTAGTGATACATACGAAATAAATACAGACTGGCAACCGATGACGTCACGCTATTCAAAGTGAATGTTAGGTGTGAAGGGTAAGGATGTAAAATAAATGTGTTATGATTGATTTTTAGCGAGAAATCAATGTTAAATTGTAAGAATAGAATACTAACCCTCAAAAAATCCAACATGGCGGAGAGACGTTCACTCAAGAATCCAACATGGCGGAGAGACGTTCACTCAAGGGGCGTGGTTAACCACTGGCAGTTAGTATGTATTGTTACGAATTTTTATGTCAAATATTTCGTATACATTTTTACGAACAGGTTTTGGAGATCACGTTGCTTTTAAAATCTGGTTTCCTGTAAAGTCTTAGGGTGGTCTTGTGTGACGGGCTGAGAAGACGCCAGCATGGCACATCCTAACTTCTGTAGCATTGTAATGCTCTGGTATTCATTCTGCGGATTACAGACCACCAGGCACTCATGTTCGTCCCCAGGCTGGGTTTATTTCAAGAACATCTGTATCTTCTTGAAGAAACATTTGCCCTGGAAAGCGTTACCATGAGCTCTAGCACAATAAATCTACGCCCGGGTCCCAGCCGCCGTGTTTCAGACCAACGACATTTAGGCCACGGAAAAACATCCCCTTATTTTTCAAACACTTTTTATTATTTATTTTTTCTACGGATGATGGCAACAAGTGAATTTAAACTTCTCATCTTCAGCAACTCACAACATCATCCCGAGGAGAACCAGAAACGTTTCTTCAAGCGATATCCGAGTCACAATAGTTTACTTTTTAATAGCTCTTTGGTCCCTCACTATTATGCAGTTGCCTTAAGCGGCATGGTAGCAATGTCAGGCAAAGCCCTGATAATTGACAATTTCTTATTAAAGCATTAACGGCACAGTCTCTGTGATTGCTCCCCTCTGGGTCAATTATCTGCACTTTGACAATCCACCCGGCCCGGCTTGTCACATTGAGGGAAGACGATTCTGCAGGATCTTCATCAAACAGAAGCGCAGAACTCTGCCTTTTAATTTGAGTCCGCCTGCCACGTGTGTGGAATGTGCCTCCGGCGCCACGTTACACGTAGGTCTAATCCAAAGAAAGTCCGAGACCATTCGTAACGTCTGAGAATATAATTATCCCCATTTGGATTATTAAAACTGAACCGTTGAACTCTGAAGGCTGATGGTTCTGCAAGTGATGCAGCGCCGGCCGCGCTGCAAAGAACATGCGCGTGCACACACACACACACACACACACACACACACACACGTGTTCCAATGCTGTCACATTCGGTTTGATGGATGTTACGGAGACGCTGTGCATATTCGTTTTCACAGACAGGACAAGGATTGGGGAAGGTGATGCTGTGTGCAATGTACTCCAGGCTGGACTCCAAAAAAAAACAGATCAATTTCTGGATTTCCGGGCAGAGAGCGAGAGTGCAACATAATTTGGGCTGTCCGGAACCCCGGGGGGGGCCTCTATATTTCTCAGTATTTCTCAGTCCATCTATCTCTCCATCGCGCCCCCCCCCCCCCCTCCCCTACTTTGGCTTTTATCGCCGCCATTGAACGGTCCAGCTGTGCTGCCTTGACCCGACTCACAGAACCAACGCGAATTCAGACGAGGGGGAAAAGAGGTTTGTGTGGGGGCGGAGTTTATTGTCGAGGATGATTAAAGGGAAAAATTGTAAAAGGGATGAATGATGGCTGAAGAGCCCTCACCAGGAGAGAGAGATAGAGAGAGTGTGATGGGTAGAATTAGAGGGGGGGGGGGGGGGGCTGGGACACAGTATTAGTACAATCAGCACAGTAATCCCTTCTGTTCCAGCCGGGGCCGGCGTAGGATTTTCAAAACAATTTCATTTTCACTCATGATGCCGCGGTGGGAGAGCTGAGTGGCTGCCAGTCGGGTCATTATCATCTTGTCCCCATTTTGGACTTGGGACAGAACGGAGGTGGGAGGGGAGGAACCTTTGGGGACATCTAGCTTTGGTTGATATCTTGCCAATTGTGCAAAGTTTGGTGGGGGCTTTTTGAACAGCTGTAAGTAATCACAAGTTCCAGAGGCTTTCATCTCGGTCGGCAGGATCTGAATAATGGCCCCGCGGAGTCGGTGTGAAGTCTTTTGACTTTTGGCAGAGGAACAGAGCTCCGACGCTCTCATCTGAAGCACGCTGTCCATTTGGGTTCAGTGGGCTTTCTGGGCCTCTTTCAAAGGTCCACCACCAGATGTGCTTTCAGCTTTTAGTTTGATGTTCGCGGATTTGTGCTCGAAAAAAAAAACACAAACCCGGGACCCTTTGAGCTCTTCATTATGTGTTTACAATGCTGCCCTGTGAATAACCCAAGCAAGCGAGTCCAGTACTTTAAAATGTTCTTTCGATTCAACCCGGTGCGTCTCCCTAAAAGCAATTCCACTCCATTTCATCCTTTGCCCAGGCTTTTGTTCGGCGCGCCAGACTTCCCTTAAGTGCATATTTAAACTA